AAAAAGACAGAGTCCGTCCCCGTCCTCCTTCCTGTGTCCCAGTGCAAAGGTTAAAGGTCACATAAACGCAGCTTATCCAAAGTAACAGCTCACATACTGCTGAGTGCAAAATGTACACGTCTTGAAGAGAACTTAAAGAACACACAGGAGTTGTAATCACCCCCCCCCCCCCCTGCAGATTAACAATTGTTATATATGAGGCTGTTTGTGTTCTGCGCTCCCCCATTGATTCATGGTCTTTAAACGGGGGAACTCAAGTGACCGTGGAACAAGTTCAAACATGTTTAATACCTGAAGCTGCACAGCTGTTAATATATAAACCTCCAGGGACACACATGAGACGGCATATGAAGCCAACTTAATGAAAAAGCTGATTCCTTTGTTGGAACATTCTGAGAATAAAAAAAAAAACATTAATTTACTCGATTGAAAAAAAATAAGCATTAATTAAAAAGTTCAGCAACTGGAAACTTACATCCAAAAGGAAGTTAAAAAAAACCCATCTTGCATGGGAACGTACTTTGATTTAGTAGAGTGGGAATGGGATCGATTAGCGTTCAACTTTTTGAGAAAAAAAAAAAGAGAGTCATTTTTTAAATTGTCTTCACAGATGACTGAGATGCAGGAACGCATGTAACGAGAAATCTTTCATCCACCAGCTCATTAGCACCACAGGCCGTACACGCCACCAAGGAGGATTATTTACATGTATGGTACATTTCACACAGTGAAGGCTCCTGATTGCTGGACTTCAGTCTGAAAGTCTTCCCATTAAATGAAGTTAAATAAGTTTACAGAGAAGGACTTAAATCTAAATCCACCATTTTTGTTTGACACCAGCAATAGATTTATTTCTCCTTACAGATTAAAGAAAATCTTTAATGTTTTGATTTCTCTGCATGCTTTATGAAAACTTCCTCCATACTGTTCACATGTTAATAGAATAGAATAGAATAGAATAGAATTACTTTATTGATCCCAAACTGGGACATTGTGGTGTTACAGCAGCATATCACAAATAAAACAATATAAGAATAGATACATAAATAAGTACATAAAATATAAAACAATAAGAATAAGAAAAGATTTATACATCAAGGATTTAACTTAACATTCTTACTGGTTTAAAAAATGAAAAATGAAATACAACATTTATTACTCAACTAAATGTAAAAATACTTGCTGGAGGTAAGAGATGTAAGTTTGCAAAAACAGTGTTGACAGTGGTAAATGTGCAATAATGATATTGGGGGTTATCCAGAGCTGTGCAGTCAAACATATATATGTTAAAGTGCAGGAGTGTAGATACGTTATCAGTTGAAACTCTTCACTATGATGATGAGCAGTCAGATAATGTTGTTAACTTAAATGTGAGGATAGTGTAACGGCGCTTCTTGGATGATGTTGATTATCCTCGGTTGTCTTGCCGTTAACTATAACACTAAACATCCTTAATTAAAGATATATATTCAGGTGTGGGTAAGTAAAAGCACGGGGACAACTTCTGCTGTGCGTCTCATACGTTTAATGTCCGTCCATAACAGAGCATAACATATCAAGACTGACCAACAACAGAGACACCTTACTTGTCTTAAAGCAATATCACTCCTCAAACCGTAACCATGGGTAACCTTAAAGGCATAGTGCATCATATCAAACAGATACTCTTGTAAAGTTCAAATTGTAAATATAAATGAAATTAGCAATAAATAAAATAATGTTTATTATCTCAACCTGAGAAAAATGAAGATCTCCATCTTACTCTCGTGTGTCAATTTTACAAGTAGCATGAGCAGAACAGATTACAGATATTATCATGATGATGACGGTTCTCCGCTCCCATGTGAGCTGTTGTAGAGGGTTATGGCCTTTGGTAATTCATGCTATAGGACATAACTGGCACTGCAAAGTACTTTTTAAGTAAAAAAGAGAATATGTCAGCTTTGAGGAATAGTAAACATCTTGACAGAATCCTGAAAGTGAGTTGAAGTTCACATTCCTTAGCTGGTCTTCCCCCACTAAACAAAAAAAAGAAAAGGTGTGTTTAATAGTGACCTCCAGTAAACAGAAGCCTGCGTCTGACTGACATGAGCGGCCTGCTGTTCGAGCTGTTTACAGTGAAGGTGAAGAATGTGTCCTATATGTCGGCTGCAGGAAGAAGAACGACCCCTCTTAAAGACAGAACATACATCCAGAAACCAGGCTGGTGCAATGCATCAACCTTGAGTGTGACCTCTGAGGAAATGGACTGTTTAACCCCTCGAGAATGTGTCACTTAGGATCCCCTTGTTGTTTAAAACCATCTCAGTGAAGAAGATAATCATGACAGAAACACGCCATAAATGATTTTTTTTTTGCTGGACAGAGTAGAAGCTCCGCCCCCTTGCAGCCATGGCACTGCTCCACAAAAACTTAATACCTTCCTCAGAGACTCCAGAGGCCCCCGATTCTTAGTGACGCCAACTTACTCTGCCTCAACCCCACTCACAAACCGCATATATCATCCTCCTGTCGGCCCCGAGTGCGCCGTGCCACCAGAGTTTCCTCCATGGCTGGGGTAATGCAAAACGTGGGTAAAAAACTCATAAATGTCAGATGCTGTTTGGCCAATCCAGGCGGTGCGAGTGTGGCTCTGCGGGCTGAGGCTCGGCAGAGTGCTGCAGAGGCTTTTTTTAAAAACCTCAGCCATCTGCTTCTTATAAATCACAACAACTTACACTCGCAACCAAAAAAACATTCCAGGCATTTCATCAGACTGAGTCCAAGATGATGAAGGTGACAAACAAATAAATGAAACAAAGATAACTCTATCTGAAACTGAAGTAAAGCTCCTGCAAACTTTGAGCAGTAAATCCTATAAAAGAAGGTTTATGCAGTTTGTTATGAGACATCTACGACTTACTCAAACGTGTACATTACCATCTTGATTTAGCAATTTACATGCACTAAAGATTTTGGTTTATTCGACTTGTTAAGTTTGTTTTATCATGCATTTATTTTTGAAGTAAGCATCGAGAAGAACGGCATAATAAAGACGTTTGTTGACTGTAAGAGTCCTCTGGTGTGCTTTCATTTCCGTGAGAGGTTGTCCTCCTTTAAGGAATAAGATTCATCACAGATCTTTGGCAGACAATTAAACCCTGCAGGCTAACCTGTTCTCCATCCATACACAGCTTGCATCAATAAACCTAAAAGCTCCAAACAACTTGAAATCATTAAATGCATGTTTCCATAAGGCGCCAATGCAAATGCAATGCCACCTATATGCAAACAATCTTCTCATTCTGACATTTATCGTATATTTTAAATTCTGTTTTTTATTTATTTGTCAGTGTTGAGTGATGGCAGAGCAGAATGCAGAGACAGATGGAGAGACATCAAAACATTAAATGAAGTGCCAATTACAGAGAGAAAATAGACAGAGGGAATGTGCTGCTGGATTATTTGAAATAAGACAGAAGTGGTTCAATAGTTTGACCATTTTTGTTTTGCCTTCTTGCGCTTTCCACAGCAGACAGATTGCAAAACTATTAGTCCAAAACAACCCAAAAAAGTCTCTTTGGACTGAAAACAGCCAAACAGCAAAATGTTTTACAGGTTCTGTTCACATCATTTTCTGTCATGACTTCTCAGTTTAAAAACAAAAGGACTAATAGCAGCCTGGAGGACGTTGCAGTATATAAAAAATATAAGTTTTAACTCTGTTGAGAGGGAAGCTAACATGAGCCTGTTTTACTGCATCATTCTCCTCTTTGAAACAACAAACAGATATTTATATTTATATTTACATTTGTATTTATATTTGTCGAGCAGAGAAGAGAGTTCATTACTCACATGAGCATTGCGTCATCTAGTGTCAGAAGTGGGCATTGTCTTATTTTGTAGGCGGAAGTGTAAAACCAGAATCAGGGCATCAAGTTACCTGCTGACACGTACGGCGAGATCGGATGCTCGGATATTTTGCCTTCAAAATAAAAATCCAATTAAATGATATTTGTGTAAGGTAATTACTGAAGCAAAAATTATGCAAAACCACCAAATTAATTAATTAAAAATGTTAAAATAATTAATAATAATAGTCTTAGTATAAACGTTAAGTAAACCAAAACTAATTGGTCAGAATAGACTTTCTTTTTGTAGTAGCTCTGCAGGGGCTTGATATTTTATTACTGATTAAATAATGGTACGATAAAAAAACAAGATTAAAACACTGGATGAAATTGAAATCAACGCAACTAAATGTGTGACACAAGCACAACTACTTCTATGTATTAATATTGAAAAAAGAAAATCCATTTTAAAAAAAAAGTACACCCTTAAAACACCCGTATTTTACTGTGTCGAATATTTACAGTCTATGTTCCAAACTGAAGAAGAAAAAAAATATCTACACAGGAAATACAACTTTCAATGATGCAAACCAAACAGTCTAATGATCCAAACAGAAAGTTTCAAATTGATAATCTGTCAGAAGTCGTCATACTACGAAGGCTGATATTTTATCCTTAACATCTTTTAATACCAAATTTATTCAGAACATTAATTAACTAAACATTGTGATTTATTATAAACGGTTATTTTATTTTTATTTTAACAGTTTTTATTGGGTTTTCAATTAATAACATAGATATGCAAACAGACAAAATGTAAAGCAATATATATAAAAAGTAAAATAATAAACAAATAACTAAATAAAAAGGGTCAGATAAAATAAACAGAAGAAAGGAAGAAAAAAAGGAAATTAGATAAAGAAATAATAGTGATGAAATTAAATAAATAAATAGGAGGGGGGGGGGGGTCACCTCTGTTCCACCTCAACGTTGTTATTCATCCTTATCCAGTGTTACCTGTAAACTCTCATAATACATAATAATAAAAAAGGTCCAAATCACCCTGAACTCTTCTAGTGAGCCTTTTAAGGTATATCGTATTTTTTCTAAGTTTAATGGTTATTTTATTTTGAAGGTGATCAGCGGAAGTTGTCCACTCTCTTGTTGCTAACTGTCTCTCTCTCTGCCGGGCTGCAGACAGACAGACAGGTCGGATAGTAACAACAGCATTCAGAGTGCAGCATGGCTTACATGGCGAGGATCGGCCCGTCCATCCTGAGCAGCAACCTGTCCTGCCTGGGCAGCGAGTGTGTCCGGATGATGGAGAGCGGGGCGGACTACCTGCACCTCGACGTCATGGACGGGTCGGTGTGTCTGCACGAAACATCAACTAGCATGCTAACCACGAGCAAGCCTGTTGAAAGTTCAGTCTGTGCGAGCTAAAGTTGGCTAACATCAACAAGCTATGCTACCATGCCAAAAGTTAATCTGGGGGAAGGAAATGTTTGTGTGTTTAAAACATGTTGAATCAAGAAGCTTTCTAAACCTCAGGGTCAAATTCTTCTTCTTCCTCTTCCTCTAATGATGCAAGACGTGCAGGTTAAGTGTGCAGCTGTTTGTGCAAGGTGAGGAGATTTCATCACAGCAGGAAGTACTAATGTGTGTTTGTTTCTCTGTAGACATTTTGTCCCCAACATCACTTTCGGACATCCCATGGTGGAGTGCCTGAGGAAGTGTGTCGGCCAGGATCCGTTCTTTGGTGAGACACAACTCAAACATATGCTGCACGTCAGGAACATAAAGGTGATCGTGCTGCAGCTGTTTGTGAGGAGAGTACTGACAGTGAGAGTTGTGATGTTGCAGACATGCACATGATGGTGTCTCGGCCCGAGCAGTGGGTGAAGCCCATGGCTGCAGCAGGAGCCAACCAGTACACCTTCCACCTGGAGGCCACCACCAACCCCGGAAACCTCATCAAGGAGATCAGAGACAGTGGCATGAAGGTGAGCGACGTGATCATGGAGACGTGCACAAACACAATCTTTAGTTTTATCACGATCGTCTACAAGAAAGTGACCTGAACTGTAAAAAGGTTTATCTGTGTCAGACAATGTGAGTCGTTACTAAGGACCCGGGGGGCCGCCCAGCCCAGCAGTGCACAGCGTGAAAGCTGTTTTTCTCATCAACAACAGAAGCTTGTGATAGGCTGCGAGCACAGGATCAAAGATGTTCTATTAAACAGGAGCGCTGAGCTGTTTTTAAAACTTTATGGTGGCAACAATGACAGTCATCCCCCCCCCTCCCCCCTCGTTTGAGTTATTTTCTTAAAAACTGTAAGTAGAAGTGATCTGCGGGCCGGAGCTGAATAGGCCTGGTGTAAAGTACTCAGGCGACTTCACTTTCTGTGTGTTTTATTTCTGTGTGTGTTTTGTAGGTGGGTGTGGCCATAAAGCCTGGAACGACAGTTGAAGAGCTCGCCCCGTGGGCTAACCAGATCGACATGGCTCTGGTCATGACTGTTGAACCCGGCTTTGGAGGGCAGAAGTTCATGGAAGACATGATGCCCAAGGTGAATAAAATCCACAGAACAGGGAAGAAAATCACTTTCACACAAACAACAACAAAAACAAAAAAAACACTTTAGAGTTTGACTTGAAGTTACATGACGGGTGTGAAACTCAGTTTTCTGCCTCATCCTTTCTTTCTCTATTTTCTCTTTTTAGTATGTAAAAGTTAGTTTGTTATTATAACGCACAGAAAAAGAAGCACAGAACTTCACCACAGCTCAGTCGTTTACACATCTTAGAGGTGCACTTTGTAGTTTTGGTAGAGAAATGTGGAAGTTGGAGAAATGTACAGATTCTGTGGTATATGTTTATATTCTAAACACAAACTGTCCTCAGGAAAGTTTGTTCCCTGGATCTCAGTTTGAAGATAAAATGCTAAGCGAGAAGTTTTGGAGTCTTAAAGTTGTAGAGAGGGTCATCATGCACGTCTACATCTGTTTTATTTTCATGTGTGTCAGGTGAGCTGGTTGAGGAGTCAGTTCCCCCTCGTTAGACATCGAGGTAGACGGAGGAGTCGGACCTGACACCATCCACAGGTGTGCAGAGGTGAGAAATGTAAACACACCTTTACGGGTTTATGTTAAAAAAAACAAATCAGGTTTTGTGAGTTTCTTCAGCAGCGAGTGTGTGTTTAAGAGTGTGTTTGTGTTTTGCTGCAGGCGGGAGCTAACATGATCGTATCGGGCAGCGCCGTGGTCAGCAGCGACGACCCTCGCTCTGTCATCGCCCTCCTGCGCACCGTGGTGGCCGACGCAATCCAGAAACGTTCACTGGACCGCTGAAATGTGTTCCCCCCCGTGTCCGTCCCAGAAAACACAACACACACAGCAGCCAGCGCGAAAAAGACTCAGACATTCATATCTGGAGCGGAGGTCAAGGGTCACGGTCAGAGCGGTTTGTGTGGCGGCGTAAAGCTGGTCAAAGCGAGATCACTTTGATGTGAGTGAAGCTGCACCGTGCCTCTGCAAAACTTTTTGAACTTGGTCCTGCTCTGTCACAATCTCCTCTCATCGCTATCCGGGTTGGGGGAGGGAGGGAGGGGAGGGAGGGGAGGGAGGGGAGGGGAGGTTAAGCAGACTTCAAATCTCAAAACATTCCTGAACATTGTTTGATTTACTCTGTAAAAACTGTAAGTTTGAAGTTAAAATAAATCATGAAATAAATGATCCAAAGAGCTTTGTGTTTAACACATCATCACTTTTCTTAATTAATCTTTTTTTTTAACTTCCATTTGAAATATTCTTTTGATATCACACAAAGTGACATCTCTCTTTTTCTGTTTTTTTATCTTAAAGTCTTTATTTGTGATTTTTAACATTTAAATGTAGAAATCAAGTATATCCTCTGAAAATAACTCTGTGAGTCATGACTGTCTACAATGGGTGTAACACCCGAGTCCCACTGTCTGTGATGTTTTCTGAGTTTTCAGAGTCCTATCTTCACTTTGTTTACATCGCCCGGACGGCCGGCTGACTCCTCCCCTCGTGTATAAAAGTTGTTTAATTGAGGGACTAGAGAAAAGAAGAATAACATACTGTACTCACTGCTTAACTGTGTTTCTAGATCACGCTCATTTCAGGTAAATTTACATGCAGTGTGAAGATACCAGCATAATAAAGATCACTAGCATTAGCATGCTAACACAACAATGCAGCGCCAGTTGTTTTGGTTTCATGCTGGTGCTCAAGGGCGACATCTGCTGGATCAAAAAATCACATATAAAGCCTTTAAGAGACCAAACTGAGCAAGAATAATGTTCATACACAGATTTCATGAGATTCAGTTTTCAGATCAAAGAGATTCAAATAAAGTCGAGTGGATTCCACACGTTCCTGTTTGCTTTTTGCTCTCTGTATTCAATTCAATTCAAAAAACTTTATTTGTCCCCAGGGGGCAATTCAATTTATTGGAAAGTGTTTTAATACTCAAACAGATTTCTACTGAATTTGACCTCTCGATCGTCTTATCTTAAGGCGCCAAAGGATGTACAGATATTTGGCCTATTTCGACATAAAATAAAAACCCTGATTAATCAAATAGCTGTAGAAACATCTATCAAACATTTAGTAATATTAATAAATAAGTTCCATTTTGACCGCATGCATCAGAAAATGTCTTCCTACATATTCTGCTGTTGAATAACTGAAGGTAAAGCAGGAAGCACGCTCACAGATCTTCAGGACAAAAAGCTGTCAAACCTCAATTTCACCAATTTATTCTGGCCATGTCAACTCCATGGCCTCCATGTCACGGGGGGGAATCTTCCAAAATGTTAGCATGCTGTTTGACAAGGCCAGAATAAATTGCTGAAATTGATTTCACACAACTTTTGACTTTACTTTATCACAAAAAAGGTGTTCTCATGAAGATGGAAATGCTATATAAACATAATCAGTACTTATACTTATTATTACTTAAAAGACATGATCCGTTATGCAGCATTTAGTCAAATAATTAGAACATTTACTGATGTGCAGATTTTTTAAATGATCCAATACTTTTACCTGAGAGGTTTTTTTTTTGACACTTTTACAAAGCTCTTCATGATTTTACTACTTTTTCCTTTTTCAAACACTAGGTGGCGACTTTGTGCAAACACCCCCTATATTTTCGGGGATTTCAAGTCAGTATAAGAAAACGAGAGATAAGATAGTGAGGCTGCATCATAAATGTGTGAGCATGAATCCATTTTAAAACAGCTCTGGATCATAAACAGAACTTGAATGTATGATTCATAGAGCAGTGCAGCTCGATGTGCAGCGGAGGATGGGACACAGTGTGAGTGCTGCTGCAGAGTGGATACTGTCTATGTGCCCTTTATTTGAAAACTTAACTCCTGTCAGTTTAAATCCATACATTCATGAACAAGTGCTTCACGCAGGGCTGGTGCCTCTGACCATTTGGTGAGCAGCACGTTGGTGAGTGGGAAGCTTTTTTCAGGGAATCAATTCAATATTTATTGAACCAGAGTCAAAAGTAGAACCTTTTTCCTGGGGACACCCAGAAGGACTAAAGACATGTCTATGTTATCTCCATGTCTTTGTCTACTCAAAGAATGTCTCCTGTCAACTAGAATCACCCATGACATACTTCAAACTGAAGCAGCTCACTCTCAATAATGCAGCACATGTCTCAGAGGCGAGTCACAGTCCCGCTGAAAAATTGATGCCAAAAAAAAATCTGAATTTTCATTTGAACATGGTAGATTAATGTCATCACTTTTGCTCACCGGATCAATGCATATGTTTACATCGGTGTTCCTATAGCGTGTGATAAGAGAGTTTGTGTGTAAAAACACGTGTTTATACAGAACGAGGGAATCTCCTGTGACTGATTCCGCTTTAATAGAGGATGACAGGCGTTTTGTACGTCAGTGTCACTGCTGCTGCGCGGAGACGGGGACATAATTCAGTGTGAGGGAGTAGTCAGCACCTACACATGCTCCACATTCCTTAAACCACGTCGCAGTCTCATTCTCAGCTAATTGACAGCTTCTCTTTCCAGATTGTGTCACTCTGTTTACACACCACATGTGTTCATTTATCAAGAAATTCTAAATTCAGAGTGAGGCATGTGAGCGGCAGTGATGTGAACAATCACAGAAGCAGTGTGTAGAGAGGTTGCTCATACAGGAGAGAGACACATAATATCCCACATACTGAGCCCTAACTTATACATCAAAGTGAACCAGGAAGTACTTCACTCTGGTGCCATGACAACCACATCCACAGGTACCATTAGTGGTTAAAAACAGGAGCCTAATAGATGGGGGGGGGAGTTGGCTGGATAAAGGGAGTAAAACGGTCAGAAATCCATCAGCGCTTGACCTTTTATCCTGATAATGGAAAAATGATGGAGCCTTTGTAGATAGGGCACGCCCTAAACGCTAGGCCATCAGCGCCCCCCCCCAATGGGCTTTTTTTTTTATGTAAATGTGGCCTGATGTGTCTGCAGCTTTTTAATACTGATTTTCTCTAAAATTGCTGATCAGCTGAGAAGGGGTTAAATCAAAGCCTCCATGCAACCTCAGTATAACAGTACAGCCAGTATTTGGTCATGCTAGCTCGCTAAACTGTCTGTACCTTATCAGTAGTCAAAAGTTTATAATTTTTAATGTTGCCTGATGTCCGTCTAGATTTTCAATACGGTTTGTCTCTTCAGTTTCTGAACATTTAAAAAGAAATGAAACGACAGCACGTAAGCTGAGGTAAAAACAGCAGCTGGTTTAATACTTAAAGTCTTTAAATGTGATTTTTAACACTTAAATGTATAAATCAAGTATCTCCTCTGAAAATAACTCTGTGAGTCATGACTGTCTACAATGGGTGTAACACCCGAGTCCCACTGTCTGTGATGTTTTCAGAGTTTTCAGAGTCCTATCTTCACTTTGTTTACATCGCCCGGACGGCCGGCTGACTCCTCCCCTCGTGTATAAAAGTTGTTTAATTGAGGGACTAGAGAAAAGAAGAATAACATACTGTACTCACTGCTTAACTGTGTTTCTAGATCACGCTCATTTCAGGTAAATTTACATGCAGTGTGAAGATACCAGCATAATAAAGATCGCTAGCATTAGCATGCTAACACAACAATGCAGCGCCAGTTGTTTTGGTTTCATGCTGGAGCTCAAGGGCGACATCTGCTGGATCAAAACATCACATAAAGAGTGTTTATAAGCAAACTTAGCTACGAGTTACAAAAAGTAGTTTTGACTTTTCATGCAGCCTGATGAACTTCCAGATTTGAATAATGATTGTTGTTGATCAAGTGAGAGGAGGTGAAGCGACAGCCTCCATGACAGCTAGCTGACGGTTTTATCAGCTGTTATTTGGTTAAATGCTTACAATTGCTTACTCTGCACTGTCAGCATACTTGACCCAATGACCCTCCAGATGATCTTTTCAGTTGCTTATCAATTGTGCGGTGATAAAATTATAATATCTTACATTCCAGTTCATACAGTTTGTAACTCAGCAGAATGCAGCAGAATAATTACAGTTTAACAGCACTTCAGCTTCCCACCCTGAGAATTCAATCAGTGAAACATCAGTTAGTGGTGAACTGAAAGTCCAGAAAGGATTTTAAACTGATACGAGTCAGGCAGCCATCATGTGTAGCTTTTTATCATCAGAGCAGAGCCGTGAGGGGGGTCAGAGGTGGGTTCAGACTCTGACAGAGTATCACAGGATGTATAAACTACACGGTGCAGGAGGTCAGATTAACAAACATCAGGGTCCTCCCTCAGGACCTGCAGGGTCTGCTTCTCACCCACTGGATCACAAACCACTACAGGGAGCTACTACCTGTAAATGTAAAAACCAGGATGCGTTATAAAACCAGTTTCTTTGACTGTATTCAGGATGTTAAGAGATGACTCACTGAAAGAAAAACCCTTGTATATTATATGCTGTCAAATATTCAACACGTTCATCCAAATACTGTTTGAAGCTGTTTGTCCCAGGAGGACTTTTTTTTTTTTTTTTTTTTACCATTTCCTTCCAATTTATTTCACCATCCCTTGCACTCTAAGCTGCCATTTATGAAGTGCTATCTTTTCCCTGCTGTATTCTCTTTGCCTCCATGGCTCACCCTTCCCCCTTTTCTGGGATCATTATATAGCTAGTCGAATTATATTCTTCTGCTTCTCATCTTCAGCACTAAAGGCACATTAGTGAACTCGCTTTGCCTGCTCCTGCTCATTCATAATTACTCGGCATCCCACAGGAGAACCAGATGCACGTCTCTGATTAGCTCTCTGTTGTAGCCACCTTTACTTATGCATAAAGTCTTCATCTGATTCAATGTGCAGCATCTGATTAACAATTGAAATAACAACTTGCCTGGTACAATGTTACAAAAATCTCTGCTTTGCCCCCAAGCAAGGTGGGATACTGTACTGAAGTCTGCATCCTGTACTCCTAATGGAGAAGTGAGCAGTGATTCACAGAGGGGATGCAGTGTCAGAGAGCAGCTGCTTCTCAGCCCTCGTTTACGATACAGCTCTTTAAAATGCTTCAGGGAACACACTGTGGTGCTTACATTATGAG